ACATGCTATCTTAAATCTGGAGTTATAATTTTACTTTGGGTCAGCTGTCTTTAATCTTTTGCTTATCTGTTGTTGATCTCTTGTAATCATGGATACATATTATGTGATACTTTTGTTGACTTTTCATATATCTTGCCTCCAGGAAAACCATGTCTTATGAGCCATATCCACAGACCCCATGGGCTGCTCTTCGACATTGCTCTGCCTGTTAAGAGTTACCATGTCCACCTTGCATCTGCTAGTGTGGTGATGCTACCTTGTTTCTGCTATTCTGTGATCTCATCATCATTTTTGTTATTGGAATGGAAACTGAATTCTATTTGAGTCTCTTCTGTTGCCAGCTCTAGACTTCAGAACACAGCCATTTTGTAGTTTTTCAATAATGCCTGGGCCCCCAGTCCTCTTTATTGCCTTGATAAACAGTATTGTCCAGGCCCTCCTGAGGAACATACCCAACAAGTAGGTCTTCTGAGTTTATACAGTAGATCCTTTATATAGCTTACTTCACTGTGTTTTAATTGCCTTTCTTCACAGTCTGCCACAATGATTCTTGGATCTCTTATTTCTTTAATATGCACCACTGCTTTTTCCAGAGGTCATCCAGCAGCGTTAGTCCATTTGCATGGGCCTTAAATCCTGAGGGAAGAAAGAGTGCCCCATATCCAAAAACTGTCATCTTGTTTGATATTCCCATTCCTAATCCAGTACCCTTAGCAACCACTCTCGGTTCTTATTTGTTCAAATTGGCCCATTCCTGTAGCACTTACAGAAATATAATCTTCCTCTTCCTTTAACAGACCTATTACTTCCCCACTTGGGCCATACTGAAATTTGACCTTAGCTTGTGGCCATAAGGGAAGGTTGATGTAGAACATGCGGAAAGCTACTAGCATTGTCCTTAAGGTAGTTGCTTCACTTGAGGTTTCCATATGTTCAAGGGGATAGTTAGGTGGAAGAAGCATGCTCTCTTCTACCAGGGGAACTTGAGACTTATTTTCAGACCCACATGTTCATTGAAAACTTCAAGTTCTTGGTTCTATCTACATCTGCCAGCTAGTCTTTGAACTCCTACTTCTTTCCTATATGGCTGTGATTTTGGCATAGACTTGCCTGAGATGCAATGTCTCATAAATTCTGCCACCCTTAAAACTGAGTTCTCAGTCTAGTCTTCACTATAATGAACTCTTTATCTGCAGGAGATGAAAGTCTCTTAAATGTTGCCATTTGTTGATTTAAACTGGTGATTAATTAGCCTGTCATTTTCTCTCTTCAGCACTCTCAGTGACAGCCACCCAATTCCATAGTCCTTATAGTTATTGTTTACAACATTATCCGTCAAATGCTTGTCATGTTGTACAAGCTAAGTGCATATCTCCTTTCATGTATAAGTGAATTAGCAAATGGCTGCTCTTCTATGTCAGAGACTATCATTGACTTCACTTACAAACAGTAATTGGGTCCATCCTCATAGTAGCTCTTTCTTCAAGTGATCCATCTTCAGAATCCCATCAGAGAAGTCTGCTTGTAAGGACCACTCTTGCTACCAGCTATTTAGGTCACATTCCCTAGAATCTCAGCCTTGGTCAAAGATTTTTGTGCTAGAGATACATTGAAGTTTATATTCTCAGAGACCTGTAAGTAAATGAGGAATATAGGATAAAGTAGGAGACACTGACAGAAATGTGGCTTTAGGAGAAGTTTTGTCTGAGCACCACCTCAGAAGGAACTTTGAAGAATAAACTGCACCTCAGAGGTTATCCTGTCCTGAGACAAGGAGATTGGGCTCTTTTACCCTCCTATATCATTCCCCAATGGCTATGAGCTTCATCCTGAAGGAGGCAAAGGCAAAGTAGAGCATAAGAATCTCTGTACTAGATGGTTCTTTCCAGCCATGGTCAGTTCTCGAGAGAGATGCAGATAAGCTCCATTAGCTGTCAATACAGAAGGAAGTGGGAAGATTAGCCGTGTATATTAGGATTTGGACATCTGGGCAGGTCATCAACAGCAACTACCTGTTGCTGTTGCGGATACCTTCTCTGTGCTAGAGACTTGACCAACAAGCATATCTCACAGTGGTGTGCTTGAGCTACCTTGAATCAGCTTTCAGTGCATATCTGTTCATTTATATCAGTTCAGGATGGGTATCTTGAAATTGGCTGTGGAGGGAGTAATCACGTCACAGAAATCTGTAAATGGAACAGTTCAGGGCCCCATTCCCAGAGCTTGTTGTTAAAACTTTTACCAGCATACCTCTGCATTCAAATTTTAAAACAACTGTATGAAGTCAGAAGCATATTTTATAACTGAGAAACCTAGTATCAGAATGATTAGTGTACTTCAGTTCAGTCTCTCACTTGCGTCCAACCCTTTGCAACCCCATGGACTGCAGCACCCCAAGCCTCCCTGTCCGTCATCACCAACTCCCAGAGCCTGTTCAAACTCATGTCAATTGAGTTGATGATGCCATCCAACCATCTCATCCTCTGTTGTCCCCTTCTCCTCCTGCCTTCAATCTTTCCCAGCATCAGGATCTTTTCCAACGAGTCAGTTCTTCACATCAGGTGGCTCAAGTATTGGAGCTTCAACCTCAGCTTCAGTCCTTCCAGTGAATATTCAGGACTGATTTCCTTCAGGATTGACTGGTTTGATCTCTTGCAGTCCAAGTGACTCTAAAGAGTCTGCTCCAACACCACAGTTGAAAAGCATCAGTTCTTTGGTGCTCTGTTTTCTTTATGATCCAACTCTCGCATCCATACATGACTACTGGAAAAACAATAGCTTTGACTAGATGGACCTTTGTCGACAAAGTAATGTCTTTGCTTTTTAATATGCTGTCTAGGTTAGTCACAGCTTTTCTCCCAAGGAGAAAGCGTCTTTTAATTTCATTGCTGCAGCCACCATCTGCAGTAATTTTGGAGCCCAAGAAAATAAAGTTTGTCACTGTTTCCATTGTTTCCCCATCTATTTGACATGAAGTAATGGGACCGGATGCCGTCATCTTAGTTTTGTGAATATTGAGTTTTAAGTCAACTTTTTCACTTTCCTCTTTCACTTTCATCAAAAGACTCTTTAGTTCTTCTTCACTTTCTGCCATAACGGTGGTGTCAACTGCATATCTGAGGTTATTGATATTTCTCTCAGCAGTCTTGATTCCAGCTTGTGCTTCATCCAGCCCAGCATTTCTCATGATGTACTCTGCATATAAGTTAAATAAGCAGGGTGACAGTATACAGCCTTGATACGCTCTTTTCCCAATTTGGAACTGGTCTGTTGTTCCATGTCCAGTTCTAACTGTTGCTTCTTGACCTGCATATAGATTTCTGAGCAGGCAGATAAAGTTGTCTGGTATTCCCATCTCTTTAATGATTTTCCACAGTTTGTTGTGATTCACACAGTCAAAGGCTTTAGCATAGTCAATGAAACAGAAGTAGATGTTTTTCTGGAATTCTCTTGCTTTTTCTATGATGCAATGGGTGTTGGCAATTTGATCTCTGGTTCCTCTGCCTTATATAAATCTAGCTTGAACATTTGGAAGTTTTTGATTCACATACTGTTGAAGCCTGGCTTGGAGAATTTTGAGTATTTCTTTACTAGCGTGTGAGATGAGTGCAATTGTGTGGTAGTTTGAACATTCTTGATATTGCCTTTCTTTGGGATTGGAATGAAAACTGACCTTTTCCAGTCCTGTGTCCGCTGCTGAGTTTCTAAATTTGCTGGCATATTGAGTGCAACACTTTAACAGCATCATTTTTTAGGGTTTGAAATAGCTTAGCTGAAATTCCGTCACCTCCACTAGCTTTGTTCATAGTGATGCTTCCTAAGGCCCACTTGACTTCACACTCCAGGATGTCTGACTCTTAGTTGAATGATTACACCATCGTGGTTATCTGGGTCATGATCTTTTTTGTATAGTTCTTCTGTGTATTCTTGCCACATCTTAATATCTTCTGCTTCCTGTTAGGTTCATACCATTTCTGTCCTTTACTATGCCTATCTTCGCATGAAATGTTCCCTTGGTATCTCTAATTTTCTTGGAGATATCTCTAGTCTTTCCCATTCTACTGTTGTCCTCTATTTCTTTGCATTGATCCCTGAGGAAGGCTTTCTTATCTCCCCTTGCTATTCTTTGGAACTCTGCCTTCAGATAGATATATCTTTCCATTTCTCCTTTGCCTTTCCCTTTTCTTTTCTCAGCTGTTTGTAAGGCCTCCTCAGACAATCATTTTGCCTTTTTGCATTTCTTTTTCTTGGGGATGGTTTTAGTGTACTTATCATCTCTCTAATGACACATAGAATTGGAAATCTAGCTTTGTCTGATTCCAAAATTTGGACGCCCACCATGGAACATGTTGCTTTTTGAACATAGAAATTCCGTTCTCTTTTGAATCATTTGGATTGGCTAAGTTTCCATGTGATCCTGAATGCATTTTGATTACCAACATCTACTCCAAGTTAATGGTTTTATTATATTTCCCTAGTAAAGAGCAACCCCAGGACACATGACTATCATTTTGCCCTTGTTTTAAACATTCTTCCCTTTATCATGTTTTCCTAACTGCTGTTTCTGGAATATAAAAGACATTTAGTAAATGTTTGCTAATAAATGAGTGATAATACTTTATTATGAAGTTAGTTTTTTTTTTTTTCAAAAAGGAGAAATTAGCATACCCTTCTTTTATTAAAATCATAAGCTAAAAATTATCTGTGCTACAGTATGATTGTAGGAAATATTTCATGTTGAACCAGAATTGATACACATTTGAAAAAGGTGTAGGCGTACTCTCACCTAACTAAGGGGTTTTAGTGCATTTTTAGTTAAATGTAAGTACAATATAATTACTCGGTTCTGCCTTATGTCAAATTACAGTGTGAAATAAATTGAATGGTTAAGCTGAAAATCACTTTAGTCCTCATATAGACTTGAAAATCTAACTTTTGTGAAAATCTAACTTTTGTGACATGGAATTGACTGTGTTTTGGTTTTATTTGTATTTCTGAAGCAAGGCGAAGTCAGACTGAAGTGTTTGAAAGCTCTACAAAGTCTGTATACCAATAGAGAATTATTCCCCAAATTGGAGCTATTCACTAACCGGTTCAAGGTAAGAATGCTTAACTTCTTTTCTTTTTCGCTTTAAAAATGCTTGTTATAGCTAGCTTAGCAAATGGCATTACCATAGCCAGTGTAGCTCATATTCTTTACTACATATTCTTTAAACAGACCTGTATTAAATAGATGAATCTCTGCTTTATAAAAGATATTACCAACATGATTTCTTATTTATTACCTTCAATGGAAAGCTCTCCTGCTTAAAATAATATTTTTTTCCTGGACATCTCTTTATAGTTATATTGATTTTGCAAGGTAAGGTTTGTCTCTTTGTTAGAGAATGCTAGTTGATGAAAATTATAAACATTTATAACACCTCCTGTGTGTGCATAGGACCATGATGATAAGATTTAAAAAGGAAAACTTTCCATCTAATCTAATCATTATTAAACTAATCTGTCATTAGTCTTCCATCATCTTCCCCCAAAACATTATGTCAGATCTGTCTCAGCTTCTTTTCTGTTCGTGGTTGGTTTGACTTATAATTTTTCTTCAGGATCGCATTGTATCAATGACACTTGATAAGGAATATGATGTTGCTGTTGAAGCTATTCGATTGGTTACACTAATACTTCAGTAAGTATAATATTTTAATTTAGTCTGTTAAAATATTAATGTTGTTTCCCAGCATTATTAGTGCCCTTCACATGTATAATCCTAATGTATATTCTTATCACTTTCGGTTTTGCTTTCTTATTTTAAGATTAGGTTTGAAACAAAATGTTTTCTCTTTGTTTTTTATTTTGAATATTTTCTATTTCCTCTATGTAAAAGTTCTTTTATGCAATCCAGGAGAAGTATCAATAAAGTAACATTGTTATTGTTTAATCTCTAAGTCATGTCCAACTCTTTTGCAACTCCTTAGGCTGTAGCCCACCAGACTCCTCTGTCCCTGGGATTTCCCAGGCAAGAGTACTGGAGTGGGTTGCCATTTCCTTCTCTAAGGGATCTTCCCAACCCAGGGATTGAACCCAATTTCCTGCATTGGCAGGTGGGTTCTTCTGTTTAAAGAGAGAGACAGATGCAGGAGGGAATGGCAAGCCACTCCAGTATTCTTGCCTGGAGAAAATCCCATGGACAGAGGAGCCTGGCAGGCTATAGTCCATGGGGTCACAAAGAGTCGGACACAACTTAGCAACTAAACAGGAAACCTTTCTTTACTCCTTCAACTCTATTACATCTTATTTGAAAATTTTATGAAAAATTATGGAAAAATTTAATTGAAGAATTATGAGGCTCCATACTAATGCCTCATAGCATGAACTCAAGTGAAGACACGGTGTTAGTATATAGTGTTGAGGGGAATACTGGGGCACCCTTAAACCAGAGATATTTTAATATATTTTTTGCTTGAGGGAACACCCATGTGTATACACATGTATGTATGTGTCTGTATACTTCTGGGTAGGTATACAATATATATGGAGAAGGAAATGACAATCCACTCCAGTATTCTTGCCTGGAGAATCCCAGGGACAGAGGAGCCTGGTGGGCTGCCGTCTGTGGGGTCGCACAGAGTCAGACATGACTGAAGTGACTTAGCAGCAGCAGCAGCATACAATATATACATACATGTAAATACACACACACATACACAGACGCACACATATACACGTGGGTAGCTTGAGTACGAGTCGCTGCAGAAATTGTTTTCCCAAGTCACCAGTGGCGGATGCAACTCTAAAGATCATTGGAATAATCTGTTTTCCCCATCGGTATCAATTGTATGAGAAAACAGCGATTTCTCCAAATTAAACATTTTCACGGAAAAATAAATACATAAATAAAGAGAGAGACAGAAATTGAGAAAGAAAAGACTTCAAAGGGTTAGGTTTTTCAAATAGGCTTCTTTGGAATGGTACAGAAGTAAAAGAAAGGAAGCAAGGTGTTTAAATTATGTCATTAATATGATATAGATTTTAAAATAGGAATAGTTTCATATATAGAACTAACTAAAAACCAGGAAGAATCTGTTTGAGAGAATGCAAGACCTGAAAAAATCATTACAAATCCTCCCCTCCCTATTTTGTGATGCTGTATCTGTCATACACCAAATGCCGTGTATGCCAGGGTCTGTTGTTGTTTTGGTGTCGTTTTACCCCTTTTGGCTGTACTACCATATTCTTTATTATTGTGGCTTTATATTCTAGTAGGTGCTGTGTGTTTATAAATATGGCCTCTTACTGATCAGTTACCTTCTTTGCCTTTCTTTTCAAAATGCACTTAGCTACTTTTTCTTTATGAATTTTTTAGGTACTTTTGTCTAATTCCTCAGAAACTTTGGTTGGGACTTTAAATATTAGAACTGCATTTAGGAACTTCCCTGGCAGTCCAGTGGTTAATACTTTGCTCTTTCACTACATGAACAGGGTTTTGATCCCTGGCTGGGAAACTAATATCTTATAGTGGCGTGGCCAAAGAAAAAAAGAACTGCATTTAAATTTTATGATAAATTTAGGAGAGAATGGAATTTTTATAATTATATATATCATTTGTACATGAAAATTGTATATTCCTTTATTCATATCTCATTAAGTCTTGTATAAGGTTTAAATTGTTTTGTAGTAGTAGTGTACATTGTTTACTGGGTTAATTCTTAAATACTTTATGGTTTTTTTGTTATATGATTAATATTTAGTTTTAAAATATTTTCTACTGAATTATTACTAAGAGAGAGAACCTTAATTTTCATGTTTGGCTTTTATGTGCAGCATATTAAAACTTTTATCCATATTGATGGTTTGATTTTCTTGAGTTTACTATGTAGATTATTTTATGATGTGAAGACAGTTTTAGTTCTCTTTTCTCCTCTTCTAATTTTAAAACTTTTGTTTCATTTTCTTGTCTAATTCCATTAGCTAGAATATTGAGCTCTATGAAAATATCCCTGATAGTGGATTTTTTTTGTTCTTTTTCTAGAAAGGCATCTAAAATTTTTTGTTTCTGCAGTTACTGAGATAGGTTTTTTATATGAAAAACGTTCTTTTGTATTCTCAGTTTCCTGGGATTTTCTTGTTTTACATAGATGAGTCTGAATGAAATTGATGGATTTGTCTAATGGTAAACCACATGTGCATTTCTTTTTTTTTTCTCTCTCTTTTTTTAAAAAACTTTTATTTATTTATTTTTTCCATTTATTTTTATTAGTTGGAGGCTAATTACTTTACAGCATTGCAGTGGTTTTTGTCATACATTGAAATGAATTAGCCATGGATTTACATGTATTCCCCATCCCTTTCCCCCCTCCCACCTCCCTCTCCACCCGATCCCTCTGGGTCTTCCCAGTGCACCAGGCCCGAGTACATGTCTCATGCATCCAGCCTGGGCTGGTGATCTGTTTCACCCTAGATAATATACATGTTTCGATGCTGTTCTCTTGAAACATCCCACCCTCACCTTCTCCCACAGAGTCCACAAGTCTGTTCTATACATCTGAGTCTCTTTTTCTGTTTTGCATATAGGGTTATCGTTACCATCTTTCTAAATTCCATATATATGTGTTAGTATACTCTAATGGTCTTTATCTTTCTGGCTTACTTTGCTCTGTATAATGGGCTCCAGTTTCATCCATCTCATTAGAACTGATTCAAATGAATTCTTTTTAATGGCTGAGTAATATTCCATGGTGTATATGTACCACAGCTTCCTCATCCATTTGTCTGCTGATGGGCATCTAGATTGCTTCCATGTCCTGGCTATTATAAACAGTGCTGCGATGAACATTGGGGTGCACGTGTCTCTTTCAGATCTGGTTTCCTTGGTGTGTATGCCCAGAAGTGGGATTGCTGGGTCATATGGCAGTTCTATTTCGAGCTTTTTAAGAAATCTCCACACTGTTTTCCATAGTGGCTGTACTAATTTGCATTCCCACCAACAGTGTAAGAGGGTCCCCTTTTCTCCACCCCCTCTCCAGCATTTATTGCTTGTAGACTTTTGGATAGCAGCCATCCTGACTGGCGTGTAATGGTACCTCATTGTGGTTTTGATTTGCATTTCTCTGATAATGAGTGATGTTGAACATCTTTTCATGTGTTTTTTTGCCATCTGTATGTCTTCCTTGGAGAAATGTCTGTTCAGTTCTTTGGCCCATTTTTTGATTGGGTCATTTATTTTTCTGGAGTTGAGCTGGAGGAGTTGCTTGTATATTTTTGAGACTAATCCTTTGTCTGTTGCTTTGTTTGCTATTATTTTCTCCCAATCTGAGGGCTGTCTTTTCACCTTGCTTATAGTTTCCTTTGTTGTGCAAAAGCTTTTAAGTTTCATTAGGTCCCATTCGTTTATTTTTGCTTTTGTTTCTAAAATTCTGGGATGTGGGTCATAGAGGATCCTGCTGTGATTTATGTCGGAGAGTGTTTTGCCTATGTTCTCCTCTAGGCGTTTTATAGTTTCTGGTCTTACATTTAGATCTTTAATCCATCTTGAGTTTATTTTTGTGTATGGTGTTACAAAGTGTTCTAGTTTCATTCTTTTACAGGTGGTTGACCAGTTTTCCCAGCACCACTTGTTAAAGAGGTTGTCTTTTTTCCATTGTATATCCTTGCCTCCTTTGTCGAAGATAAGGTGACCATAGGTTCGTGGATTTATCTCTGGGCTTTCTATTCTGTTCCATTGATCTATATTTCTGTCTTTGTGCCAGTACCATACTGTCTTGATGACTGTGGCTTTGTAGTACAGACTGAAGTCAGGCAGGTTGATTCCTCCAGTTCCATTCTTCTTTCTCAAGGTTACTTTGGCTATTCGAGGTTTTTTGTATTTCCATACAAATTGTGAAATTATTTGTTCTAATTATTTTTGAAAAATACCGTTGGTAGTTTGATAGGGATTGCATTGAATCTATAGATTGCTTTGGGTAGTATAGCCATTTTGACAATATTGATTCTTCCAATCCATGAACACGGTATATTTCTCCATCTGTTTGTGTCCTCTTTGATTTCTTTCATCAGTGTTTTATAGTTTTCTATGTATAGGTCTTTTGTTTCTTTAGGTAGATATACTCCTAAGTATTTTATTCTTCTTGTTGCAATGGTGAATGGTATTGTTTCCTTAATTTCTCTTTCTGTTTTCTCATTGTTAGTGTATAGTAATGCAAGAGATTTCTGTGTGTTAATTTTATATCCTGCAACTTTACTGTATTCGTTGATTAGCTCTAGTAATTTTCTGGTAGAGTCTTTAGGGTTTTCTATGTAGAGGATCATGTCATCTGCAAACAGAGAGAGTTTCACTTCTTCTTTTCCTATCTGGATTCCTTTTACTTCTTTTTCTGCCCTGATTGCTGTGGCCAACACTTCCAAAACTATGTTGAATAGTAGTGGTGAGAGTGGGCACCCTTGTCTTGTTCCTGATTTCAGGGGAAATGCTTTCAGTTTTTCACCATTGAGGGTGATGCTTGCTGTGGGTTTGTCATATATAGCTTTTATTATGTTGAGGTATGTTCCTTCTATTCCTGCTTTCTGGAGAGTTTTAATCATAAATGGATGTTGAATTTTGTCAAAGGCTTTTTCTGCATCTATTGAGATAATCATATGGTTTTTATCTTTCAATTTGTTAATGTGGTGTATCACATTGATTGATTTGCG